ACCTCTGTCATCATTTTAAGTGGGGGAACTTGCACAATCGGTGGCTGACTAAATACTTTTTTGCCCCACTGTATATATATATATATATATATATATAGCGATCAAGCAGGATGCGAATATTTAAAAGAAGACAATTGGCCACTGTGGATAGCAACAACAATCACACAGTTTGAATGCGCACACAACAACTGAACAGGCACCACATCGCCTGAAAACATAGCAAAGCCATTAACCAATCACAAACTGCATCTAAACAGCAACACACACTTAAGCGACTCGTTTGAAAAGACCTTAGAGACAGATATCGGCAGCAAACACGAGAAAACTTCTGGTGTGCGTTAGCATATTACTCACTGATTAACCAAGCCTTCCGAAACAAGGGGCATTATTATTATCAGGTCAAGTGCGACCTTAGCATGAATGAAGACGCCTGCATTAATGCGGCTGAACACGCCAGCAAGGAAGAGCCAAACATTGTGAAGCACTTTGTCAACACGAGAGCGACTTTTGTTTCAGTTGTGCTGCTTTAATGTTTGTTTGTGTATTACAGCAGATTTAAAATGATTTAACACACACAGCCATCTACCTGTTGCTTGAAGCACGCTGGTCTTGTGTTCACGCTGTCTGGTCGTGGTGTCTTTTTTCTTTTCCCACCATTGGATGGCGCCAGAGAAAGGTATTTTCAAACAGAAACAAAATGAAAGCATGGATTTAATCCTTTGTGGTTTTTTTGGTCAGTCTGAACACAAATGAAGAAAATTTAACTAAATCAAAAGTTTTAGGAATTACTTCTGACTTCTAGTGTCTGCAGAGACCACTGGGTGATTCTTTGTATGGCCATTTGGAGCTGTAACCTCTCACCTCATTAACTCAGTCTCTGTAAGAAAATGAAGTTGGACTTTATCTTGGCTTTTGGAGCACCTGGGAGAATTGATGTTCTTTGTGGACTTACCATCTGCTCCTGTATGAAAAAGTTAAAAACTTCTCTCTCTGTGGTATTAATTAAAAAATCAGTGCAGCCCCTGCTAGATATTTGTCATTACCTTTCATTTATAAGATGGCTAGACAGCTGCACATGTGACCACTGTTCTAGCAAATAGACTGGCTTCTCACCTTGTAGCTGGACAGTGGGGAAATCTTTTTCAATTAAACACCATACATCAAATCCATGCTTTTAATTTTGGCCCTGAAGCTAATCTGAGTTAAATGATTTTTGTGGAAATTAGTAATTTTAATTTGCACCTTTACTGCGCCGGTCTCACTGAACAGGTTAATTGAAATGTTCAAAGAGCTCACATGTGTGGTGGATGGCGACAGTGGTTAATGACTCTATACTGTGTATTTAAAGGATATGTGAAAATAGAAACTGCTATATGACTAATATTGATGCGATGGTCACGAATTTCATTTGTCACACGAACAGTCTACAGGTTTGTAGTGTGAGATTGTTTTTTTTTTTCAGACTGTAACAACAGTTTAATACAACACAGTAACTGCAGCATGACAAAGATGTTAAATGTTCTTGTTGTCTGACCTCCCTGATTCACCCTTGACATAAGATTTAGCATGTATCAAAACACATCAACATATAATCACTGTAACTCATTATTCACCGCTTTCATTAGTCTGATCTAGTTACACTTAGTGATTTGTAAAGAATACACCATGTTTTCCCTTTCAGTGCTCTGCACAGTTGTCAGCCTTGTACCATATTATTCAGTGTGAACATTTTTACATAATAGGGTAAATCTGTAGAGCCATTAACTTTGTGCTTCACTGCAAAGACTGCTGTAGCCTAAACATTTCATTATCTTTTCTTTTCTTTTTTTTCATTTGGCTGTTAACTGAAATGAAAAGAGGACACAGCATGAATATTTAATTCTTTGTTGTATGTCTGAAGCTGAACTTTCTGCATTCAAAAGTAGGCATCATGTTGCATTTGAACTACTTTGGATAGATAGAAAAGAACTATCACACATATATTAGTGATAGTGAGGGACAGCGATAAAGAAAATTAATATTTCAAATGTATGGGTAATGAATGATATCTGTACAGACCTATAGTGCACTGTTATCAGCATAATATAGGTACTAAGCAGAACTCTACTGTGCACTTTTTCACATTTGTATTTCCTTTGTATTTTTCTTGAAACCTCTAAATCTTCACTGAAATCAGTTTGATCTACCTTTATGTAAAAATGTTGCCATTTTGTACAACCATTGATAAACAAGAAAGCATTTATGTGGGTCATCTTTTCTATATTTTAATACCTATGTGCTTTTCTGAACTAAAACAAGACTATTTTTTTAATTCACAAAGATGGCAAATGATGTATACAGTACATCATAAATTCACTATTCCCTTACTTCCAAATCACCATTTCTAAATGCTGAACTTCAGATATAATCTAACCGCATTTCTAATTGTAATGCTTAAACCTTGAACAATCTTGTAAGGAAGACAGGAATGAACCGAAATGTCTTCTAATTCAAGATCTTTAACCACACACACACACACACACACACACACACTGCTGATCTATTGAAAACACAGTATCTCTAACAGTGTGCCTTCCTTTACAGGGCTGGGGGATGCACGCGGTTCTGTTTTGTGCCAGAGGCGATGGTACTGCTGCACTGTGGACTAATACCCTGGATGTAATCCAGCTGCACTGCGTCCAATTAAAGCACCACGTAAAGCTTTGAACACTGAGAGCTGTTACGGCTCCGGTAACTCAGTTCTCGCAACGATTTCTGAGCTCTGGGCAAAAGTGTATCTGCTGTGAAATGTTAATAAAGTGATGATAGTGTTGCCATTTAATCTCGTCACACTGACTTGCAAAACATTCAATTAGCTATTTTAATATTTTAAAGCTTCTATTTTTTCCCCAAACCCCACAAAAAAATTTCATTACCAAACTCCAGAGTTCAACGTGACGCTTATGACATCAGCCTTACCACCAGCCACGTAATCGTGCGTCGCACTTCTATTTTTACACTAAAAAGCTATTTTTGAACATGAGTGCACCAGCGTGCTTCAGACGCTGGCAGTAAAAGACAATAGACTGTAAGTGCTCAAACACAGCAACTGCTTTAAGCACTTTTTGTCCTTAAAAAAAAAAGCCGTCCATCAGTGCGCAATTGCGCAGCAGGAACCCCCGATGTGTGAGACCAGTGACATGACCACTGAAAAAACTACCGCAGCGCCGCAAGAGAACCAGCCTCCTACTGTGACCCCATTCCAGTAAAGAAGACTTCTAAATTCCCCCACAGTAACAAGGTGAGCGGTCTCTGTGCGAATTTCCCACAACCCCATCTTCGACGCTGCTGGAAGAGTAGCTTCGTGTAATGAAGACGTTCGTATCCCGGTAAGGGTAAGCAGCATGTTCATCTGTTGGACTCATACACGTTGTGTCCCCAACTCACGATGACAGCTCGCATCAGGACTGTGGATGCACTTTTCAAAAGTCTGGGTTTCTGAGAGGAAGCATGATGGACGCAGTGGACATAGTTGCCTCTGTGCTGGTTTTGGGGATTATTGTCGTGTCGCTGCTGTCCAACGTTGTGGTGCTGATCTGCTTTATGTACAATCCGGAGATCCGCAAACAGGTACCCGGCCTTTTTATTCTCAATTTGACGTTTTGCAACCTGTTGCTGAGCGTGTCCAACATGCCACTAACTCTGATCGGGCTCATCACCACGGGCCACCCCGGGGGCAGCGGTTTCTGTCAAATTGTGGGTTTCCTCGACACTTTTCTCACCACAAACTCCATGTTGACCATGGCAGCTCTTAGCATCGATAGATGGGTGGCGGTGGTGTTCCCGCTGAGCTACCACTCAAGAATACGGCACCGGGATGCAGTGATAGCTCTAGGATACACCTGGATACATTCACTTTGCTTCTCCACGGTGGCTACCTGCCGTTCCTGGGTCGGCTACAACCACCTTTACGCATCGTGCACGCTGTGCAGTGTGAGAGCAAAGGGAGCCGGGACGCAGTTCATCATTTTCACCGTGGTTTTGCACTCTCTCACTTTCCTTCTCACGCTGATCGTGCTGTGTGTAACGTATCTCAAAGTTCTCAAAGTTGCGAGGTTTCACTGTAAACGCATCGACGTCATTACTATGCAGACACTGGTGCTGCTTGTGGATATCCACCCCAGGTAAACAAGCATTAGAGATGCATTCACTCTAATCCACCTGTCCTTTTAATACATGTGTCTTTTTATAAAATATTTCCACCCGTTGTTATTTATGTTATCCAGTGTGTAATGTATTGTCAAACAATCATTTGGATACTTTGGAGTTTAAATCATTCTGTCAGCAAATTGTGATTATATAAGAAAACCTTTATTTAGTGCATTTATTTCAATCAACCAGAATCTTTACAGATTTACTGGCTGTTATAAAGCTGTCCATCATATTGATAATTTCTATCAAAATTTGTAATCAAATTTTGGACATTTGATTGAATAAAATAACCACATTTGATTCCTAGTAACAGAATTGAAATGCTCTCTCTTTGTATATTTTCTTTTTATCTCTGTAGTGTGAGAATCTCTGATGTAATTGTCTTAGATAACAGTGCACAGTGTACTGTTCTCTTCAAGTCTGCCTCATATGTCTTCTCTTTTGACTGCTTAATTATGTTTGCATGTCTCTGGTCATGCATACAAGGGACATAATACTACCTGTGTGCTTTGACAGTGTACGCCAGAAATGCTTGGATGAACAGAAGCGGAGGAGGCAGAGGGCCACCAAAAAAATCAGTACATTCATCGGCACATTTATGGTGTGCTTCACGCCTTATGTCATTACAAGGTGAGGAGCGATGTATAATGCTGTATATGGTTTGTCGATGCGTATGTGTGTGTGGGTGGGAGCAGAATCCATGTTTGTGAGAGATATTTACTACCATACTGTCACCAGAAGATGTGATGGTTCCGTACATTTTTCTTCATTTTGAATCAAAAGATTAAAAATACATTTTTAACAACTGGCATCAAGGAGATATTGGACTACAGCTAATGATCAAAAGCTTATCAAGTACAGCAATACAGATGATGGTAACTACTGTATGTGTAAGATAATATTTTAAATATTTAAGCTACTACATTCTTTACAGTATAATGTGCACTCACTGTTTGCACTTGCTGTTAATAACAAGTCCAAAAATTGCTCTTGCTGGTTTGTCCAGCCTTTATTTCGATGTAATAGGAATTTAAAAAGAAATCATCATTTGCAAGAACTTGAGAATCCACAAAAGCCGCAGCCATCTGTTCAGATTCCCCAAACATAGTGATGACATTTCAGTGAAGTGAAATGAAGTGATGACATTTTCACAGTACTGAGGCACTGGTGGAGATTCATTAAATGTTGTAGATTTCTTCCATTTCACTCATGTAAGAAACTGCACTTTGTCCATCAATTGTATGTGACTTTTCTTCCCATGTTTTCTCTGTTTGAGGTAGAATTGTAGAGCTTTTCATCCCAGGACCCATAAACCCTCACTGGGGTGTGCTTTCCAAATGCTTGGCCTACACCAAGGCAGCAAGCGACCCATTTGTCTACTCACTCTTGCGTCACCAGTACAGGAAGACCTGCAGCCTTCTGGCAAACAAAGTCCTCAAGAGGAGCACGTTCAACTCCTCCTCACTCAGGATAGAGAACAATGCAAGGAGAAGTGACAACTCCTCCAACGCAACCAACAATGTCCAACCACCGACCGAAAAACCCCTCGGCCAGTGAACGTCAACACAGTGACAGGTGAAGTGTTGGATGCTGACATTTTCTTCTGAGTTTGAGATAACATAAAAAGTGATATTATAATATCAAACGTTTCTCACGTAATTACTTGTTTAGGGACAAGATATTTTGTACTTTTTATTGTGAACAAATTCAATGAAAAGACCAAAACCAGCAATGTGTTACTCCGCATCTCCATACTTTATTAATTTGCCACCGTTTCTGACTTAGATAGCTAAATGCTCAGATTGTGCTGCTTTTTTCGCATCTGTATTCCTGAATGCAAAAATGCATTGACCGTTATTGACAGTGACATCTCTTTATTTACAGCAGATGCCCATGTTCATGATTACAAGAAGCATGTCACACAGTGCTACTTACTGTAGATGTGTTTTTCAATTATTATTTGTTAAATCTCAGTACAGTAGGTTTATTGTGGAGGGGGGGGGATGTAGGCCAGCTATGTTTGTAGACTTTAATGGCATTGAGGATTTAATACAAGTGTACATCTTTTTCTGCAAAGGTTTTGGACCTGTTTTTCGTGATATAGCTTTGTAGCATTCTGGTAAATTTGTGTGAAATACCTAGACTGCTGTGGCATGGTAATCTAGTGACTGTTTCAAAGGCACAAACTGCAGCGCACGTGAACAAGACTGCCGCCCCATCTCCAAAATGCAGAACAAAGGAACAGAAGTATCTGATTACCTCAAATCGATGTATTTATAAGTTATATTGTTTGAAAAAGATGCTCAAAGTGTTGTGTTCCACCTAAAGCGAATTGCTGCATGTCTTGACTGAAATTCAAGCATAACCTCTGACCTCACTCATGATGAAGAAAGCTGGATTAAATACTTCACGTGTTCATGGAATCGTTTAAAGCAGATGATATTTTAAAGTTGTGTTGCACCACACTGATAGTTTTATTGAAAATACTGTACAGTATAACTGTGAGGCCTGACTTCTAAAGTGCCTATGAAGTCTCTGATTGAATCACAACACAACAGAGGGAACACTTTTCTCAATGGTTGTGTTATGGTAAAGTGTGCGATTTTAATCCTGTTAAGTAGTCCGTTTTGTAAGTAATGTTTATTTTGTAATACAACCTCGTTATTTGGTTGCGTAAGGCAGCACAAGGTGAAATGTTATTGAATGTGGTAGCAGCTATTCGGTAATGTGTAATTAACATTTGAGCTCATGTCATATGAGTGGCTGTGCGATATCTGTGTTGTAAGACAACACTGACTAATCAGGATGTTGTGTTTTTACTTTACTGTGACAGTATAAAGCCTTTAAAAGGCAAAAAAAAAAAATCTATTTATTTTTGTCAAAACTGTGTCTGAATTTTGCTAATACGTTTGTGATGATATTGCAATAAATGCTGTGCATTTTGACATTTGAAACTGTGCCAAGCTGTCTTCTTAAACATTTATCATCTGTATTTTTATTGAGATGATGCATAGAGAATTCAGCAAATCTGATCTTGAACAATGCTTTACTATACCACCAGTCTGCCAACACCTTTATTCTCCCACGATGATTAAGTCATGGAGAAATAATAATTAACACGAAAAATCATTTAAGGGTCCCTCCCACTATTGCTGCTGTTGATGTGGCAGCAGAACAAAGACTTTATACAAAAGCATCAGGATTGAAAGTTAAAGGCTTTCTTAATTGCAGAGCTTCTAGAAGGAGTGGGAAAAGAATAAAAGAAGCCACAAAAAAGGGATGGAGGTAGGCATTATCTCGCCAAATGCTGCGGCAGTTTTCAAAGGTCCTTCCCATCTGTGTCATCTATCCTACTTAAATCCAATGCAAAGCAAATTGAATCAAAAAATTTGAAATGATCATGTCTTGTCACAAGACAAAACTGCCCCCAGTAAATTGAATTATTCACCGAAAAGGGCAAAAGATGAGCTGACCATATCACTGTGAAGCACACCAAGCGAGGGCAATTAGCTGAAAGTATTTAGTGAGTTGGGAAGGAGCCCCAGTCTGGAGGTGTGTGCATACCACATCTCCCTGGGAGATTTAGTGAGTGGGTAGTGTAGTGGCAGACACAAACCTGCCATACACGAAATGCTGTGTACAGACCTAGTGATTAAGTCACTGTGTGTGGGAAGGACAAGAAAACAGAGGAGGAAGAAGAAGAACATGAGTTTGCTGGATGACTTCATGCGACCCGAGTGTCAGGGCACGACGAAGGAGTGGCGCTCGCTACAGTTCTCCCACTCAGACAAAGTAAAAGTTGTTTGTGTAAAAAAACCATTTACGACCATGTGAGGTAAAAATTCAGTTCAGTATCAAAGGATTTATGGTTTTATGTGATATTTAAACGCTGTACAAATTTGACTTCCTGATCAGATTATGTCAGGTCTCTTAAACTGATCAAGCTTAATTTAAAATGTCAGTGCAGTCTCCGTCTTTACAGTGTTGTCTGAGTTTATTGAACAAGCTATAACAGGTCATCATACCACAATAGTAAAGTAGAAGTAGAAGTAGATTGCAGTAGATTACATAGAATACAGTATGTGTGTGCAAATTTATCATAAAGGACAAAGCTCATAAACAAAATATTAATAACTCATAAAAACATGCAAACATGGCAGACCTCTAAATTCCTGAAAATATGCAGTGATGAAGTTTTAGAGCTAAAGAGCCACTACAATCTAAATGTGGCATTTCACACGGGTGTTTTAAAAGACTGTAGCAAAATAAATTGGCTGTCAAATTTGTGCAAGACTGCCACAGTAGCTGGAGTCACCCGTGTGCTGCAACCTCTTTTAATCAGCAGCAGCTACAGCGAGCTGAATAAGAAAAGAATCACCGTGCACACACTGAGAAAACGTAACTGACTCATCTTTTTAATTTCTGTTAGACAATCTTTCACCGTGAGGTCCCTCTGGTCTGCTCATTAATTGCAGAAGCACATAGAAGGGTTTACATACAGTATCCATAGATGTTTAAACATGACATATCCGAGGAAAACAGCAGATAATGATGATAATGAAGGCATGGCTTTCTATTATGTCCCCTTGTCTCACTAGGCCTCTATTCTCTAGTTTTCTTTGTCTTTAATCTCCAAGTATTCCTTATATAGCAGTTTATCCTAATCTCTTCCAGTAAATCTACCAGACAAACAACATAATATGAATCATGGGAATGTTGGGCTTAAATGTCAAAGTTTTCCCCATGCCCTTAAGCAAACAGCCTGCGCTGTTCATAGATGTAATAAAAAGACCATCTATTTTTGTCCAGGAATGCCGCATTTGTTTTGTTTTTTTCCCCTGGGTTTTTTATTTTTTATTTATTTTTTTGTCCCCCAAACCACTGCAGAAACGTTTAAAGAGTATAACTGCCTTCAAGCGAAAACCTCATACTACTGTTTTCAGTATCTTCAAGGACTTCATGGTTAATTTTAACATTCCACAAACTTATAAAGGCAATAATTCAAAATGTAAAAATTAAAAAAGAAAATCTGATTTGAAAGCTTTTCACATGATAAAATTAATGAGCAGCAAGAGTTATTTGTTTTGATACCATGGATAACTCACCATAAGGACAAAGTCCACACTGTATGTTCACGTCTGCAGCAAAAATGTCAGCAAATATTAAATTAATAGCATTACAAGTCTGTTATGCTCCAGCCATCTGTTCAGCTTGTAAACATTGATTCTACTGCTTATGGACATGCCAATATGTGTTTATGTATCTGCATATTTTGAGCATTAACTGAATACTGATGCCCACTTGCTTTTCCAAAATGAGACAAATTTAAACTATAAAAAAAGGATTTAAGATGAGTGTCACGGTCTGTGGGGCAGACCGTGGGGATGAGGGGAATGAGGACCCAAGATGCAGGACTTTGTGATGAAGGCAGTGCGTTTATTTACAGTGGTGTAAATAGTTCACAGAATAAACCCCATGTTTTCCCCTTGACTTCCGTGTCGTGTCTTCACCCACAAGTTCGTGCTCCGTGCTCTTCGCTCCTGTGTGTCCTGTGTGCTCGCTGCTCTTGTCTTCCCTGCTCCTTCCTGGAGAAAAATAACAAAGAAGCAACTTGTCAGGACACTCGACTACCGCGGGCATGCACTCACTGGACTTGGAACTAATAACACTAACGTGGAGTCAAACTCAATAATCCAGCGTCGGTGGAAGCTCCATCACTCTTCTAAATAGCTCCACCGACGAGCCCAGATGAGGAGCAGGTGTGCGGCAAGGACTTCGGGTGTGGCCAGCCCTCAAGTCAGGCCACGCCCCCAGGGCTGAACGTGCCTGTAACTTGGCCCCAGAAGACAGGCAACACAGCCACCTGCCTACATACAGATGTGCACAGGGGGAGTGCAGACAACACACCAAATAATAATGATAACGATAATAACAACAATAATAATAATAACAACAATCCTAGTCCCCACTGCCCACGGACCCCGAGTCCCCAGAGCCAGGTCCGTGACAATGAGTGGTCAAAGAGGTCACTTTCACAAACTGGCTCAAGCTGCAATCATGTGAAAAAGAAAGTTTTATTTGTAGTCCCATGAAAAATAAAGAGCACCATTACTGAGCAGTAACTGAGGGTCAGTAGCAGCTAGGTCCTGCTAATTAAATGCACTTAATTAACTGATTATCAGTTAAGTAAATGTGACCACCAGTTTTGGCATTTTGTTAGTGTGGAGCATCTTGGTGTGTGTTAACACACTACTACAATTTTCCCAGGAGTGGAGATCCCAGCAGACTAGCCCAAAGGTCAGACAATATTTAGAGAAACTACAAAAAACCCACGTCTACATTTGGGTCAGATCTTAGTTAGCAGGTTAAATTTAATGACAGTATAACAGAAAAAGACTGAACTAGTAAGGCTTGTTTGGGAGGGCTGGAGAAAATCTCATCTCTCCTAAAAGAACATGCCAGCATTGCTTAGCTTTTCAAAGTTCATCTGTTCATCTGAACAAACCACAGAATTTCTGGGACAATGTCGCTTAATGCACAGCACCATGTCAGCAAATCAGCACAAACACAGCACAACTGTCAGGCACGGTGGTGGAGGGGTGATGTTTGCGGTATGACTTGACAACCCAGTATCACAGCAAAATGTGTTATAGACATGCCGGTTCCTCGTGTCCATTTCACACTTTGCCTCTCCAAAACATGAAATGGAGACGCATCTAGAAGAGACCAGCAGACAGAGGTAATATATTTAAAGCCAAGACGTCGGTAGTGAGCAAAAAACATAAAAACTGCATCCCAGAGTCCTTAAAAAGCAGAAACGATTAAGCTAGTAAAGGGTGAATTGAATGAGGTGGACCAGCGTTTCTATTACATGTTTTGCCACGAGTAGCAAAATATGCTAGAGTCAAATGTGAGGCCATCTGTCCAACACCTAAAGCTTAGCAGAAACTGTGTCATGCAATGGGACAATGATCCCAAACACACAGAATAGCTGAAGGAGAAAAGACTCAATGTGCTGCAGTGACACAATCAAAGTGCAGACTTCAGCTGATTGAAATGCCAGGACCTTCAGAAAGCTGTTCATAA